CCTCCAGTAGACACTCGTTTTTCTAAAAGCAGTAGGGTTTATTTCTTAGTAAATATGCACAGGCTGGGCTCCAACATTTTAAAAGGAAAGAAAAATGAGTGTTGTGGAAGTTGAAAAGCAATCATAAGAGAAACTGGCTAGAAGAAGAGTTGTGTATTCCTTTCTGGGTGGCCATCTTTAAAAGGTGGTCCTTCTGGCCATATTCCAAAGGTAGTTAGGACAGCTTGATTAGAAAGGACTAAAGTCACCTTTCTTCGTCTTGACCTGCCTCCATTTTCTCAGCACTCACACCTTGTAGAGGGATGAGAAAATCACTACTGCTAATTCTGTAGCAAATTTAAATTTGCACAATTGTAAACTTGATTTTTTTCTAGCCAGCAGTGTTCAAACTCTTGCTCTTATTTCTGTTAGATGAGCTCCTAATTTTGCTTATAGGAAAGAGGATTCCTTCATGTGAAGCTTATCTTGTTTCTGAAGCTTATCTTTGTTTAGTTGGCAGCATAATGGAAGTTTTAGAGGAGTTGTTGTGGATAGAATAGAATAGGATAGAACAGAACAGAATAGAATAGCTTTATTATCATTATACTATTTCACAATGAAATTGAATGGCTTCCCCAGAATACATCAGAAAAACAGCCCATCACTTCCTCCAACCACCACCGCACATATACTTGTAAAATCTCTAGAAATTTTAGTCAAAACCCCCCAAAATTTGGCTTCACTTATCCACAGATCACTATAAGTACTATACAATGTATGAACCCATTCCCTTCTGTGAGTGGGCAAAAGTTGAGAACATAGTCCATCCAAGAAGAGGCACCCCCCTTCTCTGCCAGAAGCCTACTTCTACTTTTCAAAACTTAGTTGCTTTTACATGGAAACATAAGGGGACTGCAACTTCTTGAAATGATCCATTACCCTTCCTGGAAAATTTCAGTGGAAGCAGTACATCCCTTCTACCCTTTCTGAGCCAGAGGGAGGTGTGGTTCAGGAGTCTGAAAGAGTTGACCCCCGAGGTGTAGAACCACATGCAAAATTGGTCTTCATATCTGGCCACTATCCCTCTTTCCGATCACAGTGCCATCCCTACTGTGACTGGTTGCCCTCTTGCTGTGCTACTTGGTCTGGAAGTGCTGTCTTAAATGCCACATTGGTTCACATGTAGATCCATGATCTGACTAGATGAGGAAGCTGGCTTAACATATGTATGACTCCCTTGCAACCAGTGAGGAACTCTTTAAAAATAACCTTTCTAGGGTACTCTGAATTAAGTGTTCAAATATAGCTCACCGTTGCCTGAGATGTCCTTGACTGCCAGCTGCAGAAACCCAGAAATACACTGTTCTTAGAAAGGCACTTCAGCAGAGTTCTGGCATTGCTGCTGTTGCTTTTCCAAGCCTTTTGCCTCCTCTATTTTTGTTCCAAGTTTTACTTAGTATATGGAAGGATTAAAAAGTCACATTCCAGATTTTTGTCACATTCAGACTTAAGAGCTCTAATTCAGCCTGAAGGCTTTTTGAGGGTTGGTAGCCTTTGTGCAATTTGGCCAAGATCCTATATCAACTGGGCAACTATAATGCCCCACCCACACAGTTCCATGTTCTCCTCCATATCATGATAGGTTGCAAGCTTCAGAAAGCGTTGCTGTGGCTGCCCTTGCTAGTGGGGAGAGAAGGGAGGGAGAGTAGGAAGAGATGACGTGATTTTTGCTCTGAGAGGAAGAAAAGGGATGGCACACTTCATATGGAAGCACACAGTTCTACAAGTCTGGACCAGCTACATCTTTCTTCTGGATCTTGACAAATTAAGAGAGGGAAATTTTGCACATGGCATAAATGGCAAGAAAAGATACCCTGTACCATCCAAAAAGGAAAAAAAAGTTCATAAATCATACATAGGATTCTGACCTAAGAGGGAGATCCTATGCATATTTGCTTATAAGGAACTCCCACTGATTTCAGTGGTGTTTCCTCCTGGCCTGATTTTGTATGGCCTGTAGATAGATGGTGGGAAGCACACAAAGAGGTGGATAGCATCAAAAGCTAGCTCAATATTTCTGAATTGTTGCAGATCTCACCCTCTTTAACATTTGTCTCTACCTTCACTAGCCTCACAGCCACCAAGCAACCAATAATCCTGAGGAATGAAGTCCTCAACACTCAAACCTTCCCCATCCCTAGTGCAGAGGATTGCCGCTTTCGAGACACAAGTTTTCATTTTTGGTCCTCCAGATATTTTAGACTTCACCTTTTATCATTTATCATTGGTCATGCTGGCTGAGGCTTCTGGGAATTGAAGTCTAAAATATTCAGAGGACTAATTTGAGAGCATTGCTGGAGGTTTACCAATCAAGAACACATGCCATTTTTATTCCTGGAACTGTATTTTAGTATAAAAATATTGCCATGTGTACCCAGTATTATCCATTATGCTTGGAACAGTGCAAGTCACTTTTTTATATTAGAGAAAAATGTTTTGATTAGCCAATCATGTCATTTCAAATGCTGAATGTAGGAAAATTATGTTCTCATACTATTTTTTTCACTGTAGGGCCATTTCACACATTGCCACACTTTGTAATATTTGTTGCTCACATGCAAATAGTCTTCTCTGATAAACCTATATACAGATATCTTCACATAGATACTCATAAGATAATCTCACATTGAAGTCTTTAGTTTAAATGTAATTAATCTGGTGACATGAAGCATTGAACAAAGGAGTGGGTTCCGCACCTCCATTTTTTAAATAATGCATTATAATGCTGTTTCGTTTCAGTGGATTCTCACTAGTATGTAAATCTATGTTAGCATATCTACTTTGTTAACATAGATATAACTATACATAGCTAGAAAAAAATTTCAACACTAGTTTACATCAAATGGAAAATATAATAGTGGAAATGTGATGATATGTAATATGCTCATTGTCTGAGAAGTCACTATGTCAAAACTCCACATAAAGGATGGAAGGACACTAAGGCATTGTTATGAATGTAACACATGGAAATGTACACACAGGAAAAGAACAAAATCCCCCAAAACCATGGAAAAATGAACTGAATTCTGTGTGTAATATACATTGGGAAAACAATGATTTAACTAAGCTAGAAGCTTATCTGTTAAAATAAAATGCATATTTTTCTGAAATAATTATATGTAATTTACCAGATAGATTCAGCCATTGGCACTGTAATTGAAATTCCTCAATGATTAGTTATTTGGAGAAGGGTGGTCCTACTTTAAAAAAAAAAGATAATTTTACACTTCTCAGTGAAAACTATAATGGTTTTACATACTGGAGGAATGTAAACCAATTTGTGACTTTTGGGAATATATATATGTATATATATATGTGTGTGTGTGTGTGTGTGTGTGTATATATATATATATATATATATATATATATATACACATACACACACACACACATACATATATGCTTTCATCATATTCATCTGTATACTATACAAATAAGGGCTGTGCCATAACTAGTACCACTAAGAATCAGAACCAAATAAGGGAATATAAAGAGAGAAAGTTAGCAGAGATTGTCATTAAGTTTTGGAAAATGAAGGTAGCCAGATAACTATGAGACATCTCTGGATGTAAATTGCCCAGGTGAAATCTTTCAATTCTAAAACTCTTGGTTCTTTCCACATCCAGGGCCTCATACATATAGACTAAAATTTATTTATTCACTACAATAAGTACTTGTACTTCTCCTCTAAACCTGGATTAAAGGGGCACCAAACATTGTATTGTTGTCACAAGGTAGACTTCATTTTACTGTTACTTCATTTAACTGAGGGATCTCCAAGCATTTAGGTAGTTCTCCTTAATTTTATATTTACTGTATGCAAGAGTTTACTGCATATAGCTTTCCATATGAAACAAATTCCAGTCTTAACTAGATTTCCACTGTCCACTTGACATCCAAAGCACACTTAGAATCTCTTAACACAAAGGTATAGTTGGAAGGGATCTAGAAATATATCTATCAGCTCAAAGGAAGCCCAATTTGAAACATAACAACCTGTGGTAATTTAATTTGATTAGCAATCTTCAACCCTTGAGAGAACTCCAGTTCCTAGGATTTGCAGTTGAGAACCTCAGAAATCTGTTGTAGTATATTGGCATTATCATACAAAGCACTGGCCGCATTGAGATGGAGTGGAAAGAGACAGGAGAGTAATAGATGGAGTGGTGGCTGGTGGCTTCTGTGTAAATGGGTAGTGAATTAAAACATTTTTAGCCTGAACTTTTAAAAAGCTATCCAAGGTGCTGAATCCTATCCCCAAAATAGATTCAGCACCTTGGAGATTTCCTTTAAAGTTTGGACCAAAACCTAGCTTGGATTCATCATCCCATTGGCACGAAAGCCACTAGTCACCTTTTAGCAAAATATCACATGTATTGAGGTTTAACACATCAACAGTATGACTCTGTATTTAAATAGCCTTAAACGGAACATTCCTGAAACCAAAGCATTCTAGCCCTGTGTTGCTAATATGTCACCAATTGATTGAGTGTGAAGATTTTTACATCTCCTAATACTGTTAGTTTAAAATTCATGGTCATTCATTGCTACTTTTCATAAAATCTTGTGCATTGGGGCATTGCCATTGAAAAAGCATACTTGCATATTTGTCTTTCCAGAACAACAGAATGCTATTTCTGTGCACTGAGATGGACTTTGTTTCCCCTTCCCAAATATTCTAGCCTGATTGTTTTATTGCCAACCACCTAAAGGTTCTCAAAGAGGAATTTGTATTGTTCTTTATACAGCTTTCTTGTCATTACTGATGAAGAAAAAAATCCAAATTGTATATTTCTGAGTGAGCAATAGACATTTGCACCCAAAGTAGAACTGATATTGTTCACATAGGGAAGCATCACAACAAAATTAAATTCACACAAAATATCTCACACTGATGGGAAATTTGACACAGTGCCACACAACTGTTCATCTAGAATGATATGGCAATGGAAAAGACTTACCATATTTAAAAAGATAGGCTTCTGATAATTTCCTTTTTTTCCTCTCACAAGGACAGGTCCAGGTCAGCAAATGAAAATGCCCTTTTACCAAAATCAATGTCTGTTCAGGCTTTCTCTTCTGAGCACTCCCAAAGAAGCATTTATTTCAGAAAAGCCATACGAGTTGATGAGAGCTTTGGAAAGGCACTAGTTTCATCATTAATATTGTGTAGGCTTCGACACAGCAGTGTTAGATCCAGGGAACTTTAGAGCTAGCACTGTAAAGAAGAGGCAGAGGGACCCTGGCACTGATTTAGACCAAGCTCTAAATATAACCCACCCACTTTCTGTGCTTCTCTCTCTCCCCAAGCACTAGAGAGAGAATGACCTTGCTAGAAAACTGACCTCTCCAGTTGTCATTATTTGCTGTGGAGATAGGACACCATGCAAGTGGCAGACATGTGCTTGCAACAAGCAAGGATAAGTATGAACACTGGGTTTATCACATCTGCATCCTGGTTAATTTATCTGTATGTGCAATTTTTCCAATATGGATAATCTCAAGGGGAATTTCTGCTTTTAGTCTTTGCCCTTTGTGTCCTCAGCTTTATTAAGACTGGAAACTTAATAAAGAGGAGACTTCCCAGTGGTGATGTCGGTAGCATTTTCCTGTTCCCAGTACACCGAGAAGAGGCTGTGGTTTCTATTAATGTTATAACACTAACCACATACATCAACAATATAGATACCGGCTTATTTTACAATAAAAAGTCAAGTGCATTACTTGGAAGACACTTAACGGTGGATGCAGGAGGAAAAATCTCTCAGGAAAAAAGTTGTACTGGTATTTGATCTGCAAAGTTAAGGGTGGTTATGCTGTAGTATTTGTCTTACTTGTTTGGATCCAATGTGAGCAAATGTTGGAACATTACTTCTTTGATTGTAGCCTCCAGAATCCCTCAGAATACGAACCTTTTGGAAGATTCTAAGTTTGCACATTATTAAGTAGTTTTTAAACTGATAAAAGGTATATTATGCATGTACATATTAATGGTAGCTTAAAACTGCAATGGGGCAATAGTCTTTTTACTTACTATTATATGACTTTGGGTTCGCTCTGACTTATGGTGACCCTGTCATAGAGTTGTCTTGGTATCTGTCGGGAGTGCTTTGAATGACATTTTCCTGCTTCGTGGCAGGGGGTTGGACTGGATGGCCCATGAGGTCTCTTCCAACTCTGTGATTCTATGATTCTAAATGAATTCTAAGAAGATTTCTCATTGCCTTCCTCTAAGGCTGAGAGAGTGATTTGCCAAAGGTCACCGGTGGGTTTCCATGGTGTAGTGGCTATTCAAGCCATGGTTTCCTGGAGTCCTAGTTCAGTACACAAACCACTACACCTTGCTGGGTTTGAAATCTTTATTCGGACTAGTGATGTCTCACAATATAGTGAATTTCTCCAAAACTTTATGTGGGCTCATTGTCAAGTAAAAGAGGAACTGGGAAATTGAAAACAGCTAGGCATGATCATGGAATCAATTGTGAATTATTCAAGTTTTTGAGATGCAATTCAATACATTTTAAACATAATTTTCCCCACAGAGTTCCAAATTGCCAGATTCCTCATAGTTGACTGTCATTGGCACGATGCATTTACTTTGGGTTTTAGTCTGAACTTTATATTAACTATCGAGGGCATTGAGCCGTCTCTTAAAGATTTATCATGTTGCAAAGCTCCTTTGGAATTTGGAATGAATTCTCTATCCTATTGTTATAGAAATAGCCACCTTACTATAAAACATCATCTTGTCTGTGCAATTTTCATAGTTCTTGCTCAGTCAATATTCACATCATATATTCACATGGAACACAAGACAGGATAGAGGAAACAGCAGCTCCATCTGCTACCTCTTAACTTTAAGCGTCTACATATAATATACCAAATGAAATACGAGTTTTTTTTCTATAAAGTAAGGTTACAAGGCATGTAGCTCTTGTGGGGGAAGTTGGTACCACTTCCGTGTAGTTGAAAGCCAGCAGAAGCGATCAAGCAGTGCCATTCGTCAGTTGTTCATTGACTGGCATTGTGGTGAAGGTTAGAGATGAGCATCCTCATTCTGTTTCCCTCTAAGTGCGAAGTTCGCTTTGTAATACACTACCTGAATGCTAAGGGTATGAACACCACTACAATTCATCGTGAAATCATTTCAGTTTATGGAGAAGAGGTAATGTCAAGACAGCATGTGACAAAATAGGTACAAAATATATTGTGAAACCATGAAGAAACTTCGCAGAGCCATCCTAAACAAACGTGGGGTGCTGACAGCTGGAATCTGTCTCCTTCATGACAATGCGCATCCACACGCTGCTCATGCAACACAAGAGTTGTTCACTTGTGGGATGTTTTAAGCCACCCCTCTCAGAGCCCCAATTTCGCACCCAATGACTATCATCTGTTCACCAAATTGAAGGAACACTTTGGTGGAAAACATGAGGTGAAACTCGAAGTGACTAACTGGCTTAAAAAGGCAGAGGTAAACTTCTATGACACAGGCATCAAAAACTTGTCCCACAGATAACTAAATGTATTGAACTGAATGGTGATTATGTGGAAAAATAATGTAATACCTATGCTACAATCCATGTAAGTTTTATTAAAATATATTCATTCTATTAAAATATATTCATTCCAGACAACCCTCATATGTGTGAGTGAAAGTAAGTATGGTAACCTCAAATTAGAAAATAAGGTCCTCTTCCATTAATACCTCTACCTGAGTTTCACAGAACTGTTATATACAGTCAAATATACTGCAATGATTAAACAAAACAGATGATTTTACTAAGTATGTTAGCTAGAGTTGTTGAATAGAGTCTTCAGATCTTCAGGTGGAACAACAGTGTGAGGATGTAAGAGGAATCCATATGGGTGGCCTGGCATAATCCTGTTGTTGTTTCTGGCATATAACTCTAGCAGGCCTAGCCAGCCGAATCAGTGGCATGAGATTGTTCAGAAACAGCTGCAGGATGCACAGGTTGTCATTTGTTTGTAATGTTCAAGGATTACTGCTTTTAATTTTGGGGACATGATTGAACAGTGGACGTGTACAGGTTGAAGTAGTTTAACAAATACTTATGAGAAGATTAAGCTGCAAGCTTGTCCGTTTAATGTCCCTTACTGTTTAGTGTGAAGACCTACTGTTCTTTGGCTCTCTTCCCCCCTCCATCCATCATTCATTCTCCATTCCAACTGGTTATCATATAAACAATTTTGTAATTTCAAATATTGGTGCTTGGCTTCTGTTTTTCTCTTCCCTCTCTTTTATTTTTTTGTGTGATATCAATTAGACTATACGCATCCTAACAGGAAAACCCTAAAAAAATGGAATGTTTCCAGCAGTTCAATCAAATTCGAAATAGAAGTTTTCAACAGATACTTTGTAAAAATGCATTTGAACTGCCATGTATTTGCACTAGAGATATTTTGATATGTTGCTATGGTGTTTCTTCCTCAGATTTGCATAATTATTTCATTCTAAACTGAAGGACCAGGTTACAGTCCAGTCCAAAGCAAAGACAGACAGTGAACAGGTGGTGCATTGTTTGCAAAGTTCCCTCTTGGAAGCCATTTGTCAACTTATAGAGTTCTATAACAAGCAATCTCATACAAGCAGACACAGGAGACAAGGCTATTTATGACACTGTGTCGGATACACTACCCTCTCCCCTTTCTGGACATGCCTAGTCAGGTTTAATAAAGAAATCTTAAAGTTAGCTGTCAGATTTTCTTGGCAAGCCAGACTGTACAAAGTTTCTAGATTACAGTTAGGCAGCTGGTATCTTGGGAAGCAGTTGACTCAGCATATGGACAGAGCGATTCACATAATGCTAGATCGCTTGCAAACTTTGAACCCTATACAATTTGCTATATAGAAATTAAATATTACATTTCACCTTCCACTACATGGTATGTTCACTTCCCTTCTCAGAGTTCAGCAATGCAGATCAGACTTCCCTGCAACAAAGTATGCGTCCTTGTAGAATGCAAGATACCTCTGGCACTATTTCTTCTTCATAGGTCATTTTGGATTGCCTTTTTTAAAAAAGAAGCTATTCTTGTTTATTAACTTCTGTGAGTCTTAAAGACTAACCATTTTTTGGGGGCATACACTTTTTTGAGCTGATGAAATGAGCTTCAGTCTAGAAAAGCTTGTGCCAAATAAAATATGTTGTTTTCAGGGCATCACAGGACTCTTTCCCAGTTTTGCTGCAACAGATAAACATGCATTTCATCCATCATAGGAATTCTATACATTACCATACCCTGGGTATTCTTTGAGTGTGTTAACTCAAGAGGAGCCTTTTTCACTTCTGAGCTCATCAATACTCTATATCTGCCCACATTCAGTATTAGAAATAATTGTTGCGCAAACACTGTCTGGTCAGCAGTTGATGAAAAATTGAATTTTGCTTTTGTCTTTAGATCTTTCTGATGGTGAATCTTTGAAAGAAGAAGCTGATATAAGCAAAGCCACTCAGCAGTCTGAAAAACCAAAACTTGTTCCTTCCAAGAAAAGAAAGCAGGTTGGTTGAGTATATTCTTATGACTACCAAGCATTGTTATTTCATATATCATATGAAATATGATATATGAAATCATTAAAAATTAGTACCTTTGCATCAAAAACTGGGCAGAACGTTTTGAAACCAAATGTCTGGATTTCTTGGTGCTGCATCAACTATCACCATATTCTGTTATCACTATTAGAGTTCACCATTTTATTTAGTGTCCATAATATGGCTGCAATCAGTGCATTTCCTTTTTTTGGTCTTTGAAAGATATTAATTTTCTATTGTTTAGAATCTATTGTCTTAGGATACCTTGTTGACCTGCAGAAAGGGGAAATGGTCAGGTAATCTCCTTGTGCATTGAAAGGTCAGGCAAGAGGAAGCAACAGGCCTATGTATTTTAGCCAAATGACTACGTTTGGTAGCCATATCCTTTGTGTATCACAAAGGTTTCTATATACATATCAGCTGTTTGTGATAAGGCTGAGCTAATATCTACTCTTGTGAGTGGGAGTTCTACATACATTTGGTACATAGAACAGAGGCCTTTTCAACCATGTTAACTTCATGGACACCATGCTGGGTGTCAATTGTAGAGGGCGAGAAGAAGACCCTAAATCCAGTTGTTAGTTCCATCTAGAAAAATCTCATTTAATCAAGAGAAGCTTGGTAGTTTGGTTCTCAGATCTGTAGTCCCACAGCTAAATATATTTATTTATTTATATTATATATATGTAATATAAATAAATA